GCCAACAAGATACCGCTTTTCCTGCGACAGCACCGCATCACCTCCCCCCTGCGAGGAGGTGCCCACGGCGGGGAGGACTCCAATCTTTGGCAATTCTCCGTTCCACCGCTCGAGCCAGCTTAGCGCCGCCATCGACAAGGGTTCCGACAGCCTCAACACCAGCTGGTCCGCCACGGAAACGTCTTTCTCAACCCTCAGAGCCGCCTTTGCCGCTATGACGTGCGAGCAGTCGGTGAGGCTCGGGCACCCGTCGCGCTTCCCCTCGCAATACCAAGCCCCCTTGCTGCTGCGGAAGACCATGCGTCTCTGCGGGCTAGGCGGCCCTTGGAGGTTGTCGGCCACCGCAAAGTAGCTCCCCGTCTCATCCGAGCCAACCCGCTCCACCTTCGCCCCCCTGCCAAGCAAGTCGTGAGTAGGCAGCTCCGCGGTCGAGGTCCAGCTTTCGCTGAGGGCCGCCATTGCCAGCTTGTGGACACAAGGAGCGTCCTCCAGCAGCCGGCCCCGGTGGCACGTACAGCAGAGCTCGCCGAGCGCGCTCCACCAGACGGTCTCTGGGAGCGCGTGGGTCTTGGATGGCTTCCCAAGCCCTTTTGGCCGGCCCTCTCCATTGTGATCCCACGCCGACATGTAGAGCCTAAGCGGAGGGGACGCCGACCCTGTTGGGAGGAAGACGCGAACCGACTCCTTGGGAGACGTCATCATCACGAGGTACCGCACCGCCTGCTCCTTTATGCCTAAAACAGCCCCCTGCAACACAAGGCGGGAGCAGGTCTTACAGACGGACCTCCCTGCCATCGTCAGGCAAGGTTACAAGTACGGAGCCCATTGAGTCAGTGTCTCTGGATTCAAACAATTGAGATATCTTGTGACCGCACAATTCAGAGTCGTTGTAGAGCAACTTCAGCAGAATCTTAAACTCTCTCCCATGTCGCTGTCGACAACTTGCCCGTGCTATGTAGCATCGATGGCATTTAGAACGAGCTGGGCAACAGGTGACTGCAGTGCTAGACATTTTGGTCTGATATTAATCAAGAAAAAGGATGTGCAAGCTCACCTCAGGGCTCGTCTCCTCTGAAGCGCCCTTCACCCTCGGCCGCACACCCTTCGCCATGCCTCGATCGCCGATCTGGGTCGCCGCCGTGGCTACTGGCCTCTGCCCCAGTCCTGTCGTTGCATTCTCTCGACAAAGGAAGCTCAGCACATCGTCCGTGAGCTCGAAACTTTGGTTCCAAGGCCCTTCCCCCCTCTGCCGCCGCAAGATGGGCGTGTCTTGCCCACCATCCTTCCTGCCACTTAACGTGACCGACAACCCATCTGCGCTCTCTGCCACCACAGCGAGCAGCCTGTTCATGCAGCTCAAACACACAACCTGCTTGCATTGCTTCCCCTTGGGGATCCCAGCGCTAATCAGGTAGCCCATCAGCACGCCGCGGTCGCTCTTGCGCCATGCGAGCGTCATGAGGCCTGCAACCCCCTTGCTCTTCACCCAGATCTGATGCATGCACGTCAGGCATCTGAAAGCAACACGCTCCTTGCAACTCTCAATGCCAACCCTGATTTCACCTGAGGTGATCCCCCTCAGGCTACCTTGCTCAATGTGGCCAAGCCTACTGCTGAAATGCTGAAGACTAGCTTGAGACTCCATCGTTACCACCCTTTCCTTGGCCTACTCTGAGGGGGCCGGATCTTCCTAAGCCCCGTGCGCCTCTATCGTGCCTCCTGCTCCCCGGTCCGATTTTACCGGGCCCTCGAACTTGCCTATTTGGCCCGACGCCCTCTCCCTAAGTACCTAAAGCCCGACCTCGGCCGGTGGTCCCGGTCGCTTAGCCCTAAGTTCCGATGGTTCGACGCCCGAGGTTTCGAAATGTCTCGAGAACCTTCGCAGGGGTGGTGACGTGGCAGTCCTCTCCGGTACATGCAATACATTTTAGCGTCACTGCCAGATCCGGCACGACCATTGTCGAACGTGCGCCGTCCGATCCGACCGGGCGGATCCTGGCCGTTTATTTAACTCCGAACTTCATTTGGTAGG